ACCTAAAGAAATCTTTACTGCTTGAGCCCATAGTAAGTAATTGGAATTACTTAATTTCATAGATGTAATTTGCAGCCCAACAGGATCAACATATGTTGCAGAAGATTTAACTCCAGAAGACCCAGAGGCAACACTTGAATCTTCCGGCATGGAGATGTGAATATGAAAAGAAAAAGAAAACTTATCTCTGCCAAGTTACCAAAGAGGCTGTTGCACACGAGAAGGCAAGACCAGAGTTTAACCGCGAACAAAAGAAGATTCGGAGCGGAACAGACCCGGCAAGAGAATCGGGCCGGATCCTGGATCGGGTCTAACGGGCCGGATCCTGGATCGGGTCTAGCGGGTCGGATGCTGGCTTGGGTCGAACGGGCCGGACCTTGGATCGGGCCGAAACAAATCCGGTTTATATTAACCTGGATTAGGATAGCGAGCACCTGTAGCCAAACACCATTCGTCTCTCAACTCTCCGGCGAGTACGCAGCGGCAGCGGCAACGACGATGGAATAAGCAAGCAGCGATGCACCTCGCAACAGCCGTCGGTGACCAAACAACGACCAGCAACGACAACGACAGCCGCCGGTGACCAAGCAGCAAGCAGCAACGGCAAGAGAAGGCGGCGAGTAACAAAACTGGGTTTCAGATCTGAGACCAAACGACGAGAGACGAGCGATGACGACGAGAAACGGCGGCGAGCTCGTCGACACCCAGAAACGGCAACAACACCACCGTCGCGAACAGATCTACAGATTTATACCGTCGCGAGCTCTGAACTCTACAGATCTATACAAGAACAATACAATTGTAATTTCCCACACTCACAATTTTGATCCGCTCTGATACCATGTAAAAATGAAGATATGTATATTGTAGAAATACACAAAGAGAGAGAGAGAGAGACCGTAAGAGAGAGCCTCTGAAGTAACTTCTCATCTTATCATTATACCAACCCTAAAACATAAGGAGAGTTTATATACAATACAATACAATAAAGGCCTAATTACATAACAGCCACAAACCCTATATCTAATTACCATAAGACCCCAACCTAAATGCATATATACATATAAGTGTTTCAACAGTTGTTTAAGAAAACTCAATAAATGTTGCAATATATATATTTTTAACATTAATTAATTATTCACATTGTTAAGTTAAAAATTATGCAATAAATGCATAAATAACACCCAAAAAAAAAATTTGTTTGTTGTTAATGAATGTTGCATGTGAATTATTCATCAGAAAAAAACTGTTTAAGAATAACAGTCTTGACAGTCTTGAAAATAATGATATTCTTGAGTACACCCTCGGTTTGAACGTTATATATTAGTAAAGTAGAAGACGATGCACTTGGTTAAAGTGAACTTGTAATCTTAATTAAAATCAAGAATAAATAAGGTGAGACAGATTGTAATTTAAATTTATGCTTAAAATGGGACTAAGGATTAGAGGTTATGAGCCTTTATCATATGCGATGCCTCTCCCTCTTTCTTTCTTATTTCTCTCTCTTTCTATATATATCGACACACACTAGTGGAAGTACAAGGCATTGTGATAACATTCATAATAAGAATAAATTTATAATCCAAGTGCTATAGTTAGAAATATAAAAGTTAATTAAATAATTATAAATTAAATTAATACGTTAATTGAAAATGAAATAATTAAGAATGATTTTTAAGAAAAGATAAGAAAGATTGAAAAAAAACGAATTTATATGCTGAGCGATCCATTTTGAGATGACCATTGTGGGCTAGGGTTTTATTCAGGTAAATTTGTTTGATAATTACAACTATACTCACGCTCGTTGTAGGAAAATCTTTCAATTTTACTCTTTTTCTTCTTCCTCAAAAATAGTAAGCCAATATTACGTCACTCTCCCTCATTGGAGTATGCTATGCTTCTGTCTAATTAAGCTTGGTCTTCAACCTCTCAACCCTACAATGCTGAGAGTTATTGTAATTTATATAATGTTTTGCAATAGTGTATTGTTGTTTAAGAAATTTCAATGATAATGAATATTTTTTTAGCAATAATTAATTATTAACATTGTTGAGTTAATAATTTACGCAATCTACACATATATAACATCAATATATATATACATACATATATATATGTATATATATATATATATATATATATATATATATGTTGTTAATGAATGTTGCATGTGAATTATTCATTGAAAAAAAAAAAAAACTGTTTAAGAACAGCAGTTTTGAAAATAATGATATTCCTAAGTATGCCCTCACTTTGCACGTTATATGTTGATTCTCAGAGCTATATATTAGTAAAATTAGAAGACGATGTAATTGGTTAGAAGTAAACTTATTATCTTAATTAAAATTAAGAATACATAAGGTAAGATAGATTATAATTTTAATTTATGTTCAAAAATGGAAATAAGGATTAGAGAAGCCTTCATCATAGGCAATGTCTCTTGCTCTCTCTCTCTTATTTCTCTCTATGTCTATGTATGTAGACACACACTAGTAGAAACACAAAGTAATATGACAATGTTCATAATAAAAATAAACTTATAATCCAAGTGTTATAATAAAAAGGATGAAGTTTAATTAATTCGCTATAAATTAAATGCACACATAAATTGAAAATGAAATAAATAAGAATGATTTTTAAGAAAAGATAAGAAAAAAAGAAAAAAAAATGAATTTATATGCCATCCCATTCATTTTGAGATGACCATTGTGGGTTAGGGTTTGACTCAGGTAAATTTGTCTAATAATTACAACTATACTCATTATATTACATACTTGTTTGAAGCAAAGTACAATGAACTTAAACTCAGGCTCACATCCTTTCGTTCTATTAAAAATCAATTGCTGACAATCTCTGACTTTGTGACTCTCCCATCTAATAGCTCCCGACCTTAGGCTTACTCTTGATCTCTTTAGAAGAGTTGCAGGTAGATCAAACAACACTCAACGAATGCTTTGACCCCTTCAAAGTGTGATCGTTTCACCCATTTTCTTCAAGATTTGAATTTGATGAAGAATGAATAAATTATGCTTTTCGAAATTTCTGAATCTTCAATTATGTTCCAATTCCTATGAGATAGAAAACAACACTACTAAATCACTCTTGTGTTTATGTGTGTGCTCTCAAAAATAAAATCAGATTAATTTTCTGAATAAAAATATCTTTCAAAGATGGCTCTAAAATAGATTTGAATTTTGTATGTAAAAAGTCGTACCTTAATGTTGAATGAAAGAGGCATTATATAGAAGTTTGGAAGACCTTAAGAAGACTTGTAAAACAAGTGAAATTTGTGCATAGGTTTTAGAAGGAAGTCTGGTCAAAAAAGGAAACAAAACGGATAAGGAAACTGAAGTTTCTAAACTGATCAGGAAGCGTTGAACGGGTTCAAGATTTGTTGAACCGGTTCAAGATGGCTAGAGAAAATTCGAAGGTCGTCTTTGATTCTTAAACTTGTTCCCTGAATTCTTGAACCTGTTCCCTCAAATGTTAAACTTGTTCCGTGAATTCTTGAATCAGTTCAAGTCGGGCAGAATGTATTTTCTCCCTTAAAAACTTCCAAAACTTCCTAAAGCATTGTTCTCATCATTCCGGAGTATATCTGTTTGGCTCTTTTTTTTTTTAGGGGCGTGCCAGAGTCTTTCGACCCAAGGGGGTTGGATAGCCAAACTATCATTGGTGCTAACCGAATATAAAATCGGCCCTTAGTGAATTAGGCGATTGTTGGAAGGCAAGGATGACCCTTCCTCAGGTTCTTCAACGCCTTAATAAAGAGGACTTTCAACACTATAAGTAGAATGGATGAAAGGAGTAAAACAAATTACACAAGCATTCATATATTCTAAGAGACTTAGAAAATAAAAGTAGAGGGGACTAATGCCAAGCTTCGACTTTTATTTTATAAGTAAAATTCTTATACAGAGTACAAGAAGTGGAATTCTAACACTAGAGGCCACTCCTATGAACAGAAGTAAAATACAATTTAAGAACTGTATGAAATTGCAGAGAATGAAAAACATCGATAAAGAAAATACTACATTGTAAGAAAATGCATTGTGTTGGTCGGGGACCTTTTGCACAGACTTCTCATGTCTCTATTTATAGAGAAACCTTGTTGCAGCAGTTTTCTTTTAAATTAAAATATCATTTGAATTATAAAAACTACCCTTGTCTTAATCTTATCCACCATCATTTGAATTATAAAAACTACCCGTATCTTAATCTTATCCACCTTTTGCCTTTTGTCTTAAATTTATCCAAATAAATGTATTTGTGGAATAAAATTGCGGTAGGCAATTTATTGACTTTAGACCCCAATTTTATATAGGAGTCCTATTTAATAACATGGTACATATCTTCTCCTCCAATCAAACAACACCATGTGTCTAAATTAAAAAAATTATTTTTATGGTGCAAACAATATCAAAGTAAGAACATTTGAACTTTTTCAAATCCGCATCCGATCTTCAATCTTGAAATTCTGAACCGAAATTTTACAATTCGATCGGACTTGTTTTGACAACGAAATTAACCAATTACATAATATATATTTGTCACAATCTCCTCAATATATATATATATATATATATATATATATATATATATATATATCACAGGACATGCGTACCAAATGTATCATTCAAGATGACTTACATGATCACTCATTTGCATAGGCTCATTTGGAATTCATTTCCAGATAGAACATGCATACCAAATGCATGGCATTAAAATCATTTTCGTTTTATATATTTGTTTTCATTTGAAACAAAAACGATATTTTTGTCTTGTTCAATAGAAGCGTAACATAAAAATTAATGTAAAATTTTTGAAAGAAAAAACATAAAAATTAATGTAAAATTTTTGAAAGAAAAAACTTAAAAATATTTTAAGTTTGAAAAAGAAGATGGCTGCTTAAAAGGTTTTGACTCCGTGCTATTTAAATAACAACAACAAAAGTTGTATTTGTCCGTATAGTTCACACCATCCGCAACAAAAAAAAATACAAATCAAGGGCGATTGCTAAATTAGCCCTTGGGTTCAACGGTTCAATCCGTAAAATATAACCAAAATTGACCCGCTCCAATTTGTTTAGTCGGGTTTTTGCTCTCGCATCCCTAATCCCATTAATAATTGCCTTTTTTCACTTCCATCTCTCTCTCTCTCTTCCGTCGGCCGTTTTCTCCGAACTGCGGCGACGAACGACAGAGCTGACCAAACCCTATCTCTCACCACAATGAACTGTTCAAGTAACTCTCACGATTCATATACATGTTAAATATACATTTACACACACATGCGTATTCTTGTGCTACACTATTCTATCTTCTGCTTGATCTCTGTTTCTCTTGTTTTACCCTGTTCTTACAGTCTCCGGAGAAGTGCCGGAAGAGCCAGTGGTTTCGAGAGTTTCTGGGTTGCTGTTCGAGAAACGATTAATCGAGAGACATATATCGGTATGCTTTCTCTCTCTATATATATAATATGTATTATCTCCATTGTAGTAGATTTCTATTCCTGTTTTGGTGCTTCTTCAACATTCTCTATTTGGTTAGTGAGAAACCCTAGGAAAGATGAAAGAGAAGAACTTTCGCAATTTTAAAGGTTTCATTTTGGAGGCCGCAGGAAAAAATTCGCTCTATAAAATCATTCGGGTAATTTTATTTAAAATTTTGGGTACCCTTAAAGAATTAAACATTATAGGCACTAAGCAATGTTGGGAAGAGTTGAACATTCCACCTACTGGTTTTCTTTCTTTAATTTTTCTGTTTTAAGGGTAACTAAAAACATAGGGTTCAATGATGCATGTGTTTCACACTTGCTCTTTTAATATGTATTCAATAATGTTATTTTAGGTTTGTGTAGATTTAAATGCTATGTAGTGCATTTTTTTTTTTTTTTTTTTTTTGACAAATAGGATTATGGAAAATGCCCTATTACTGGGGAGCCTTTAACTTTGGATGACATTGTTCCAATTAAAATCAGCAAGGTATGCTTTATTTATTTATTTTTATGTTTGTACTCCTATTTTTATGCAATGTTGCTATCAGTGTTTTCAATTCTTTTGGGTAATAGTATGCTAAGGCTTATTCTTTTTGAATTCTAAGCAGATAGTGAAGCCGAGACCAGTACAAGCTGCAAGCATCCCTGGGATGCTTGGGATCTTCCAGAATGTATGTGTTTCTATAGCTGTCATTGTAGCATATATTTTATGGAAGTATAAAGTATAATCCTTAACCTTGGTTCTGTTGCCCTTCCTTTAGAAAATTGTAATTACAGTTAATGCATGAAGGTTGTTACCCTTTCCTAACCCATGTTTATCATGATCACATTCCATTTTATTGTTTGTTGGAAGATCTCTTTTTATTTATTTCTTAATTTAGTTTTTGATTGGTAATCATGGTTAAGATCGTTTAACTGATCTTGTGACGTCCAATCGCTTGGGAGAGAGGTTTGCTGACACTTATATGTGTGGACACCCATTAACTGTGTAGACGTGTTTTGACGAAAACCGTGAGCAACGAAAGGAGAGTGTACAAAGTGGATAGTATCTGCACGGTGTGGGCGGGTCGTGACAAATGATATTTAAGCCAATCCCTAGTCGGAAATGGGGGGACGTGCACAAGCCCATGCAGGTCTGGCAGTGAGGACGTTGGGTCCCAAGATGGGGTGATTGTGATGTCCCATATCGCCTAGGGGAGAGGTTTGATGACACTTAAGTGTGGATACCCCTTAATTGTGTAGACGCGTTTTGAGAAAAACCGTGAGCATTGAGAGGAGAGTGTGCAAAGCGGACAATATCTATACGGTGTGGGCGGGTCATGACAGATCTAGTCTGGTAAAAGTAGAGTTACCATTGTTCTCTTATCTAGTATTGATAATTTTTTCTATTTCATTTTTTATTTTTGGCATAATATTGTTTCTTTTATTATCTTTTGTGCTTCAACTCGATGAGTTGGAATTAGTAGAATAACATTTGGACCTTTTCTTAATCAATAAAAGGTTTTAAAAGGAGTTTTCAAGGTCCTTTATTTTTTATTTTATTTTATTTTGAAAGTTTGCCCTGCTGTCTCGTTGTACCCAAAGTTCCAAATGATTATCGCTTACAACTCGCCAGTACACTTCTGTTCTTGGACCCTAAATATGGTGTACTCTATTTGGGTATGGTGTCTCTAAGAGTCAAAATTTATCAAATTCCCAAACTCAATGAACAAGGCACAACTAAATATTGAAATCTCTTAATATAGTTTCTTTTTAGGACATAGCAGTGCTTTTATGCAGCGGATTGTACTTGGATACCTAACTCATTTTGGAACAATCTTGTGACAAATGCTACTCAAATAGAACACAACAAAAGAGTTTTGTAAAATTATTTATTTAAACTTGAAGTACTACTGTACTAGGCATGCTTCTTTAGTCAATGTCCAACCAGACATGTTGGATGCAAATCGGATTTCATGCCCAGAGTTTGTTTATCAGATAGAGATACTTCAAAAATTTTGGAAGGCCCATATAAAATAATTTGAAATTGTCTTACTACATTCAAACTGATATTCAAATAATATATAGTAAGCTAATATCAACTACCTCTTAACTTGGGGTCCATATGTAAAGATCATCTCTTTTTGGGTTGTCAAATCGCCGGAGAATTCTGGGGTCAGCGGCATACTGTGTAACCTCTTTAAAATTCTGGGGTCAATAACATACTGTGTAACCTTTCTCTTTCCATGAATCTCAGTCATCCTGATTTTGAATAACATTGTACCAGACTTTTGAGAGATTTCAGTTTCTAAAGTTTTTATTCAAGGCTATCTATATATATTAGTTGGTATGTCTTGATTTCTTTTAAGTTCCAAGAAGTCCAGTCATCCACATTTCAAGTAACATTGTCCCAGACCTTTTTTTTTTTTTTTTTTTTTTTGACTGAGGGATTTCAGTTTCTAACGTTCTTATTCAAGGATATCTACATATTTTAACTGCTGGGTCTTGATTTCTTGAATTGATATATACATGTCCTCTATTAATTTTTTGGCTAGGATTTTGGACTTGATATATGCCTTATTCCTGAACTCATTCTCATGATCCACTGATTTATCTGGTTTTTGGTACTATTTTTTTCCTCATATATATATATATATATATATATATATTAAACAAGAAATTTCCTTATTTTGGTATCTGATTTTCTATGCTACTAGGAATGGGATGGTTTGATGCTATCCAATTTTGCATTGGAGCAACAACTACATACAGCAAGGCAAGAGCTAAGTCATGCTCTCTACCAGGTAGGAATGAGTAGCTTAAGTACTAACTAATATTTAAAGCTTTAACGTTTTGCTGAAGGACAGAACATCCAGTAAATGGCTTAATCATTATTGCTGTAATTACACTATTATTATTCTTGGTATTACACTGTTTCATTTATCTCACGATAGCATGAACTTTTTTAAGCTTTAGTAATCAGTGTGTTTAATGGTTGATGTGACAGATTGAGCAGTTTTTAGTAAGTAGTTAGTTTTGTCATAAAAATAAATTTAAAGAATTTATTTTTTGATAAGTAATAATAAATTAAAAAGGGCGTTCAATAAGGGAACGCGTCCCGTAGACAAAGGAACCGGGGTTTAAGGCCCCAAAGAATCCAAAAAAGAAATTGAATCAACAGAAGAGGAACATGAACTTCTGTTCACATAACAAAAAAGAGAGCGAATAATAAAAAGTTTCAGTGTCGCTGTAGACGACTCCTTCCCTTCAAACATTTTACTATTTCGCTCCTTCCAGATACACCACCAAATATAATGTGGTATAGATCTCCAATAAGCACGAACGCTCCTACTCACACGACAACCTCTCCAAGTATGAATTAGCTCCTTAGTAGAACGTGGCATTACCCAACACATGCCAAATAGGCCAAGAATGAGATTCCAACAATCGTGCGCTACAGAGCAATGCAGTAGGAGATGATCAACTGACTCCCCATCCTGCTTACATAAACAGCACTAATTAACAAGAAAATTTCCCCTTTTCCTCAGATTATCGATCGTCAGAATCTTTCCCCAAACAACAGTCCATACAAAGAATGCCACCCTAGTAGGAACCATGGAGCACCAAATAGTCTCCCAAGGAAAATCATAGGATGCAAAATTAGACAGACATAAAAACAAGGACCTTACTGCAAAACGCCCATGAGAGGAGGGAATCCAAATCAAATTGTCAAAACCCTTGCCAATTCCTTCTTGCTGATACAATTGATCCAATAAAATGCTCACCTCTTCCAACTCCCAATCTTGAAAGGAACGTCGAAAATGAACATTCCACGTAATCTCATTATTATTAAGATGATAACAGTTAGCAACTATGGCATGTTTATCAACTGCAATACTATATAACCTGGGAAATGTACGACATAAAGGTTGGTTCCCACACCAAAGATCATACCAAAAGCGAACGCAACTACCATCCCGAACTCTGAATCTGATATGAGAGGAAAAGGCATCCCATCCTTGTCGAATGGATTTCCAAGCCCCAACTCCTCCCGCAATAGAAACCAGACATGTAGTCCAACCGCCAACATCTTCCCCATACTTGCAAGACACTAATCTGCGCCAAGGACGATGTCTTTCCTTCTCGTATCTCCACAACCACTTACCCAGAAGAGCTTTATTAAAAGGGATCAATAGTCTAACATTATAGGCTTGCAAACTTGCTCCCATCTAGCAAGATGATACTTAAACTCATCTCCCCTTCCTCCCCAAAGGAAATTCCTTTGAATTTGTTCAATTCTATCAACAACGGAGCATGGAATTTGGAACAAGGAAAGAAAATAAGTGGGAAGGCTTGATAAAGTGCTCTTGATAAGAGTTACTTTACCCCCCTTAGATAAATATTGCTTCTTCCAACCAGCCAACCTCTTTTCATGCCTATCAAGCATAGAATCCCAACTCCCCACTAGCCTAGAAGAAACACTAGGGGCAATCCCAAATGAGGGATGGGAAAGGAGTTCACCCTGCACCAAAGAACTGCAGCTAAAGAAGAGATGTCCTCAACATTCCCGACTGGGACAAGCACACTCTTGGCCACATTCACCTTTAACCCGAAAACTGCCTGAAAGCAAGCCAGAATGCATCTCAAGTATCTAAGTTGAGACACATCAGCATCACAGAAAACCAGAGTGTCATCTTCAAAAAGTAGATGTGAAATCTCCACCTGATTGTCAATATCTCTTCCCACCCGGAATCCCTTGATAAGACCAAGATTCTCTGCCCGGCGCATGAGTCTGCTTAAACCCTCCATAACAATTAGAAAAAGAAAAGATGACAATGGGTCACCTTATCTTAAACCTCGAGAACACCCGAAAAAGCCAGCTGGAGAACCATTCACAAGAATTGAGAACTTGACAGACGAAAGACAGGTCTCAATCCATGTCCTCCATCTACTTCCAAACCCCATTCTTTTAAGCAAGTAGAGAAGGAAATTCCAATTGACATGATCATAAGCTTTCTCAATATCAAGTTTGCAAAGAACTCCAGGAACACCACTACGCAACCTTGAATCCACACATTCACCAGCAATAAGAACTGAATCAAGAATTTGCCGTCCTCCAACAAAGGCATTCTGGGAATCTGAAATAATCCCATCCATAACTTCTCTCATTCTATGAGCCAGCACCTTAGCTATGAGTTTGTAAATACAACCCACTAAGCTAATATGACGAAAGTCCTTAAAATCTGAAGCGTTTCCCTTCTTAGGGATAAGGGCAATAAATGATACATTGAGCGATTTTTCAAAAACACCAGTAGAATGAAAATCCTGAAAGGTACTCATCACTTCATTTCTCACAACCGCCCAACTTTCCTTCAAAAAGTGCATAGTGAACCCGTCTAGCCCCGGGGCTTTATCCTCATTACAACTGGATAAAGCCTTAAGAACTTCTTCTTCAGTAAAAGGAAGCTCTAACCCATCTCTCTCCAGCACAGAAATGGCCTCAAAAGGGAGACCATCAAGTTTAGGTCTCCAACCTAAAGGTTCTGTGTAGAGCTTCTGATAAAAAGAAACGATCCCACTACGCACCTCTTCCTCCCTCCACAACTCCACGCCTTCAACCCGTAGACGTCCTATATGATTACTCCTTCTGTGAGCATTAGCAAGTCTGTGAAAAAAATCTGTATTGTGATCACCCTCTTTCAACCAAAGAGCCCGGGATTTTTGTCGCCACGAAATCTCCTCCATGTAAGCAATTTCAGCAAGAATTGCCTGACAGGAAGCTCTCCTAGTAGAAAGAGACTCCACATTCCCACCCGCCTCCTCAAGCCGATCAATCTCAGAAAAATCAGCAAAGACTCTATTCTTCCTCCATTCAAGATTCCCAAAGACATCATTATTCCACTGCTTAAGAGCGAGTTTGAGAGCTCTTAATTTCTGTGTTAATATGAAGCTGGACGCACCTGTAACGATCACTCCCTCCCACCAAGAACGAATAGTCCCTCGGAAGTCCTCCGCTTTCAACCACATATTCTCGAAACGGAATGGGGTTTTCCTAGAACACAAACCCCCACAATCCAAAACTAAAGGAACATGATCAGAGGTAACCCTTTCTAAGACCGCCTGAACAGCGTTGAGGAATTTTTCTTCCCACTCCCCAGATATCAAAAATTTGTCTAATCTTGAGAGAGTAACTGGGTCTCTACCATTGGACCAGGTATATGTTGCACCTTCCATTGGTAGATCAATGAGAAGGTGCTCATCAATGAAGTCGGAAAACTGATCCATGTCTATGGACCTTCTTCCTCGAGTAGACCTCTCTGACGGAACCTGACTGAATTGAAATCCCCACCCAAACACCATGGTAAAGAGCATAATCCTTGAACGAAGCTTAGTTCCTCCCATAAAATAGGTCTCTCAGCATCGTCAATCGGTCTATAGACCCCAGAGAAAACCCATCTGAAATTATCCTCTTCCATCTTAAACTCACAAGAAACAGAAAATCTCCTCTTCCATACATTCATTCTAGACAACCACCTGTTATCCCACATAACTAAAATACCACCCGAAGAACCTGTAGCATCCAAGGCCTCCCATTCCACAAACCTTCCTCCCCACATACTTCTAACCACTCCGTCAGTAATGGATGCCATCTTGGTTTCTTGCAAACAAACAACCTGTGCCCCCCATTTTCTTAAAGCTACCTTTGCCACCCTCCTTTTATTCGGGTCATTGAGACCACGAACATTCCATATAATGATTCGTAGCTTCATTAAAAACCAGTTGAGATTAACTCCCCTCCCCCCTTCTTCAAACTCCTACTCCTAGTCCTGCCCCTTTCCATCACCACACCTTTCTTCTTGTCGTAATTGACATCAGAGATGAGATTCTTAATCTCATGAATCCCTTTCCAAGACGATATGGGTTTCGTGTTTATAACTTCATTAGTGACTGCTATCTCAGTTCCAGTCACAATTGATTGAAGAAGAGATAAAGTCTGAGCATTATTACCTTCGGTAGAAACTTCCAGCAACTCACTAGTAGTTCCAATGTTATCAACCACCCAATCCCTCCCCAAGTCAGTAACCTCATCATCAGGTCTCACCACTGCCAAGGGTTCCAACACTGAAATGTTAGAATCATCCTTTAACCAAGGTTGAAGCTCAGTAACCTGTTGGATAGATCCCAAGTCTTTAGCCACCTCCTCTTCAGTCTTTCTGTCAAACTCATAAACAGAATCTGAATCTGTAACATAATCATCTAATCCAACACTACTCCCAACCTCATTCTCCTCATCCATTGCAGATGGCATACAATTGAGACCTTTCAATGCAACATTCAAACGTAACTCTTTAAAGAAATTATGGGACAATGTTTGGGGACCTACATCAATGCCCCAAGGCTGAAATTAGATTGCATTGCATCTGACTATACCATTTAACCCACAGCTTATTAGCAAAATATATTAGTCTGAATAGCATTTTCCTATTTCTATTATATCATTAAGTATAGAAGCTTTTGTTTTCTTATAAGAATACTCCATATTTATTTTAGAGACAATTATAACATGAGTGTACTTGGTGCATTGAACATCATAAGGTCATCAATTATCATTATGTTGGCCTGTGTAGCGCTGGGGGAGAGTTAAAATGAGGGGGATTATGAGTTCTGATGGGTTATATTCTTTTTAATTTTTTATTCTAAATTACCTGTCATGTGTTGGCAGCATGATGCTGCTTGCCGTGTCATTGCAAGACTAAAGAAAGAGAGGGATGAAGCAAGGTCCATACTGGCACAGGCGGAAAGACAGATACCCATGTCAGCTTCAACAGTGCCTAGTGTTGACGCTTCTGCTTTCAGCAATGGGAAAAGAGGTTCTTGCTTGTATGCTTGGAGGTTGATTTTATTTAAACCAAGTTTAAATTATAAGATGGGTCATCGTCATTGTAGCTGCTGATGATGAGGAGATGGGCTCTGGTGGCAAGAAAATCCGTCCAGGAGTTTCTGCTAGCATCATTGCAGAGCTAACGGATTGTAATGCGGCACTTTCTCAACAGCGGAAAAAGCGGCAGGTATTGTTTGTAATTATATATTATTACAATTATTATTGAATATCGAAATTCGTGTTTTCATTAATCTTTTACCATATTCCTTTACTAATTGTTTCTTGATTTTACACATTTTGAGAAAGCAGTTGGTTGAAGTTCAGGTATTATTTTAGCATATACGGTCTCTGACCCTACTTTTTCTGGGTTTTTTCCTTTCCCCAGATCCCTCCAACATTAGCTCCCCTTGATGCTCTGGAGAGGTATACCCAACTCAATAGTTATCCACTTCACAAAACCAGCAAACCTGGCATTTTATCTGCGGATATCCATTACACCAAGGTATGGTATTCGCGCCAGAAAAAAAAATTGCATTCATGCATCTTATATCCTCTGTCATTAACTGCATAATAGTACTAGTTAAATTGCTTCCATGCTTTGGCAGGTTCTACTTTGCATAGTAGTATATTATTGGACCTGCGGTATATATGGTGGTGATAGTAGCAGCAGCAGTAGTATATTAGTGGACCTGCGGTATAGGTAGTAGTAGTATTAGTATTTTAGTGGACCTGCAGTATAGGAATTTCATTAATTTCTGTTGAAAAACATTCAAATAATTAACTCATATGACTCCCTATGTTACTTGATCTCAAGTACGCATTTAGGAGAGTGTGTGGGTTTAGGTGTTGGTTTTATCTCAGACTGTAATTTGACTCAACTGTTGAAGTTTAAAGTCTCCTTTTACGCCCTGGTGAGAAATGATATGCCAATGTAACTACGTGGTGTGTTCAACATGAGTATTTTGATTCATTTTGGAATAACCATGTGGTTAATATGTCATGGATGCATTCTATGGAATTTCTATGTCATGCTTACCTTTGTTGGATACACAATTATTGGTAGTTGTCCAAGTCTTGGCAAATGGACACCTATTCTAGACCGTACCCATTTTTTGTGCTTGCTAATGAGATGGGTATGGAAATGTGCACCCTTTATTCTGACCTTGCCCCACCAAAAATTGCACTGACCCTCTCCTCTTGATGGGTTTACAACATGTGACCCAGCATCACTCCAATTGGTAATACTCTAAACTTCTTGTCACTCTGCCGGCCTGCCTTACCCTGTCCCAAATAAACCTCACAGGAATTTTACAGTGTGAATGGAAGACTATACAGCTATAAAATGCTATAGCAGAATAACATGCTTTGAGTGCTCTAATAAGTGCAATGGACTTGTATTATCAGACGGAAAGTATGTTAAGGTACAATCATCAGCAATTTTAGCACCAGTCCACTAAATTATTTAACAAAGGAAAGACAACATATTGACTTGATAATATGGTTTTCTATGAATTAACCTTTTTTTTTGGTTAGGTAAGTTCTCACACACTCATTGCCCATGCTGGGGCTTGAATCCCTCCCTTCCCCCTTTGAGGGTAGGGAGGTTATACCATTGGGCTAATGGCCCATTGGTGTGAATTAGCTTTCAAAACAATTAAAAACCCGAAGAACAAAAAAGTCACCTGAATATGTACTAAAGAACATGAACTAATTTATTTCGGATTAAAAATCAATATACAAGAAAGAAAATACACCCATTTGTTTTCCACAAATCGGAAAGTTAAAATGTATTGATATGAAACCATAAATTGACAAAGGAGAAAACTACTAGTTCCCAACGCAAAAAAAATCAGACTTCTGATGAAACCCCTGCGTAATACCCACAAAGGATATCACAGAAAGAGTATATGAATGTTTATTATAAAGTTCTAGACACGATCTGCAGCAGAATATTTAGTATATTTCCCACTGAAAGACCAAATACATCATTTAGCTCTAAAATGAAACAATGAAAGAATATCATAAAAAGAGTATATGAATGTGTAGTGTATGCATGTAGACACTATCTATAGAAGAATGTTTAGTATATTTTCTCTCAAAGACCATATAGATAATTTTACTCTGATTTGAAACAACTCTTATGTCAAAAATCATGAAAAGCAAAATTATGATATTCAAACAAATATCATGGTGAACAAGCTTAGATGTCACAACCTAATTGTCATCCCTGGTGTTGCAAGGAAACTGCTTTCTATGGTGCCCTGGGGGATGGTTTGTTCTGGTGTGCATGAGAGATTGAGATTGAGACTGCCTGTAGGCTAGAGTCAGAGAGACTGGTATTTACGGACTCTAAACAAAATTATTGAGGGAAGGACAGTTGATGAATGTTTGATAAAATTATATGGAGCCCTTTAGTAAAATACATGTATACCTGGTGCAGGATGGATAAATCTCGATGCCACTCTGAATATTCAGGGTCGGGCATATGTTTTCCTTCTCAAGCCCTCCCCCTTTAATTCCTCCCCAAACCCATCTAATAGGGGCTGGATGGGCCAGGGCAGGGCAGATTACTAGAAACACTAGGTCTGTTGCCATGTTGTCACCCATGTCCAACATTGGTACTTCAAACATATTGTAATTTTATGCCAAAAAGGGGAATCTGTATGCTATAACTGCCAAGTAGTGCCAATTTTTTGTGCTGTCCTCTGATTGCTTTGCAAAGATCCAAGGGGTTGGCTCAAGTGGGTAAGTCACTTGGCCCTGGTGCCTCAGAAAGCATCAGGTCTAAGGTTCGACTCTTCTCGGGTGCGAACAATTCCTTGGAGTGGGGGTGTGAGTACCAACTAGGAAAAACAAAGTTGTTGTTTCTCCTCTTCAGCACTTTAAAGATAAGCCCTTGGTTTAGCCCTGTTCATTAAAACTCTAATCTTATATTGCTTTAAGTTATTAAAGAGACTTCTATTATAAAAAAAAGATGCATTTTGGTTAGTTTACTATTAAAAGTAAGAGGACAACACGAGTTTTTTTTTTTTTTTCATAATTGGGTTTTGTATAAAAGAAAAATATATATATATATACAAGCGCACAGAGGGCATACCCTCAGAAATTTACTGGAAAAAACAAGATCTTAAAGAAAAGCAATTCCAGTAAATAAAAGAAAAACAATAAAGTGTTAATTAAATAATGTCTCTAATTGAGACATTATACACATCTAAGACTTTGAATAAAATTTGCCTAGCCACCTCTGAAGTAGAACTAGAGCTATGTCCATGCAATCTTCGGTTTCTTTCTTTCCATATACTCCAACAGCCAGCAGCAAGATGGTATGAAATAAATTACTGGTCTGTTGTAAAAACCACATCAGCATATCATCCATTGTAAAAATTGAATTAAGATTCAGCCCCCATCCGAGAGTATCCTTCATCCAGCCCCAAAAATTTCTAGCAAATGGACACTGAACAAACACACGATCTCTGGTATCAATATGTTGTAAGCAGTTTGAGCAGCGAGGAGCCAACAACACTTTCCGCTTCTGCAAATTATACATTGTAGGCAATCTGTCTTGAAATAGAAAAACTCCATGCAGAGACCAACGAGGTCTTGCCTTTCCCCCAGCAAACTTTGGACCACATAACCTCATTAGATATAGTTCTACAGCCTTACCAAGCTTTTTTGAAAGCAAAGGCACCACCATCCCAAAGTAAATTATCTGGCCTAGCATGGATAGGTAGAATTGCCAAGTAGTCTTTAATAGGACTGAAGATTTCATCCTGCAAAAGAGCAAAGTATCCTCCATCTATAATTAAACTGGACAAAAGAGAAGACCATGAGAACCCCAGCCTTCTAACCAATCTATGTCCAAATTTCTGAAGAAGTGTTTCCCCTTCACACCAAGGGTCAGTCAAAACCTTGAAAAGATGCCCAGAGCCAATTGAAAATTGAATATTCTTCAGCATTAAATCTCTAAAATTAAGCAAGTTTTTCCACATAACTGAATGAGAGGACTTTGGAACAGCATTCCAATATGTGGATCTAGTTGCATACCTGTTTTGAAACCAAGGGACCCATAGTCTATCTTTACTCAACAAGAAATCCCAAGCCAGAACGCAGTGAGAAGCAACCTGAAGATCTTTCAATTTTCTGATACCTAACCCTCCCTCTGTTTATGATCTACACATCATATCCCAGCTTAGAAGATGCATTTTCTTCAAATTATCTCTACTACCCCATATGACGTCTCTGCACATTTTCTGAATTTTATTGATGATAGCAATAGGCAAGTGAAAGATGCTGCACCAGTACAAACAGATAGGAGTGATTACAGTTTTAATCAATTCTGTTTTGCCTGCAATTGACAACAACTTGGTGCTCCAGCCTTTAAGCTTCTGTGAAATTTTATCAATAAGAACATTGCAATGAGGTCTTTTTAAACCTGTTGCACACAAAGGTATACCCAAATATTTTAAGGGAAGATGCTCTTCTTTGCATTGTAACAGGTTCAGAATTGCTCTTCTACGTCTGACAGTTTTAGAGAAGATCACACTACTCTTTGGATAACTGATATTAAGGCCTGATGCATCACCAAAATGTTTAAAAATTCCTTGAAGGATTCTGGCATTAGAGATTGATGCTTTACAGGAGATTAAGAGATCATCTGCAAAAAAGGTATGACAACAATTGGAATTTGCTTTTAGGGCAGTGTTAGACAGAACAAGTCTCCCACTTAAAACTTCTGTGTTCATAAGATGGGTGAGTTGATCAGCTACCAGAGTAAGCAGAAGAGGGGAGAGGGGACAACCCTGCCTTAAACCCTTGGAGGGTTGAATAAAACCTGTGGGAGAACCATTTAATAAAACAGAATATCTTGTGGAGCTCAAAAGACTCGTAATCCATTTCACCCAATTAGAACTAAATCCAGAGATTTCCAATATCTTCAGAAGAAAATTCCAAGAAACTGAGTCAAATGCCTTAGAAATATCAGCTTTCAAGGCCATGATTGGATGCTTAGAACTAAATTCACTCACCATTTCTTGGCCCATGATAATTGAATCCTGAATTTTCCTGCCTTTAATGAAGGCACTTTGCTCCAATCCCACTAGACTAGGAAGAACCAAAGATAGTCTTGAAGCTAGGATTTTTGAAATGATTTTATTAATGAGATTGCACAAGGCAATTGGCCTGAAATCTTTAGGTTTAACAGCAGAACCAGTTTTAGGAATTAAGGTGAGAAAAGAACTACTCACCCCAATAGGAAGAGAACCTTCAATAAAAAAATGTGAACTGCTGCACATACCTCAGGATGAACAATAGACCAAAAGGATTGATAAAACCTAGCTGGAAATCCATCAGGACCAGGGGCTTTATCTGGAGTAAAATTCATCACAACAGCTTTAATCTCTTCTTGAGTAATAGGGGAATCCAGAATAAGCTTATCTTCAAAAGATAGAACATGCCTAGGATGAACTTCAAAGGTAGTATCAACTGTATTATCCTGAAATAGACCTTGATAATAATCAACAAAAGCCATTTTAATCTCTTCTGTATCATTTGTAACTTGACCATTTTCATTTTCCACAGAAGTGATTGCATTAAACTGATTATGCTGCTTCATCTTTGAGTAGAAGTAAGCTGTACATCTGTCAGTGTCCTTGAGCCAGAGAACTCTGGACTTTTGAGCATATAATATCTCCTGAGAAGACATTGCATCTTGATAAACTTCCTTAGCTTGAACCTCTTTTTCAAACAAATCATTTGTTGGGTTATTCAGAAGTTCCATCTGTAAATCCTCCAAAGCTTGTTTTGAATTTGAGACCCTCCCTTCAATTTCTCCAAATGAATTCTTATTCCAAATTTTGATAGCCGCTTTAACCTTTCTGAGTTTTTTCAGTATATGAATTGGAGTGCCAACTGCAGGTTCATCCCAGGCTGTCTTAATCACCTCAGAAATATGTTCATGCAAACACCATACTTTGAGCATTTTGAAGGGCTTTGGACCACTTGCAAATTGCCTAAAAATGTTTATAACAACTCCATAATGGTCTGAAGATGATGAAGCCGAATAAGATATTTTAGTACCAGTGAACAATTGCATCCAATCATCATTAATAAATACCCTATCAAGCTTTGCCAATATCCTTCTATCACTGACTTGACGATTACACCATGACCAATCCCCATTGGTAGCAAAGATTCCTGTCAAGCCAGTATACTGCAAACAATCATTAAATTCATCAAGAAGCTTTTGGGGGACCCTTCTACCTCCTTGCTTATCTGAGTGAAATCTGGTGGCATTCCAGTCCCCAACAACCAGCCATGGACCAGTAACAATTGAAGACTGAGTATTCAATTGGTCCCATTGTCTTCTTCTACCAGCAACTGAATTAGAGGCATACACAGCAGTACAATAAACCACCTCACCAGTTTGAACAAAATTCACCTTGAGGAGCAAGCACTGATCCATCTCATTCACCACAGTGACATTAAACAGCAATGGATCCCAACCAATCCATAATCTACCCGAATCATGAGAATTATAGTTATGAGTCCACCTCCATCTCCTATTGATTTTCTTTGAGATAACATCAAAGTTAGATAATCTAACCCTTGTTTCTTGTAAACAGACAAGATGAGAGTCATTGGATTTGATCCACTGACGGACCTCTCTTTGTCTTCTGGGCTTATTCAAGCTCCTCACATTCCAAGATGTGATCATTGAGAGGGGGGAGGAAAGGGAGCACCCCCATGACTTCTAGTCACTCTTTGAGAAGCCAACGAACCTATATTCTTCTTCTTAACATTGATCTTTTCTGTGGTACTGGAAGAGATGGCAGGTATAACTTTAGTAATATCCTTTTTAATACTGGAAGAGATGGCAGGTGTAACGATAGTAATATCATTTTTGATACTGATATTCGCAGGAACCCAATGGATATTACTTGTGAACTTGAATCATTGTTAACCCCATCTTGTGCACCAACCACATCAGACATATTATTTATACTTGGAACTTCTTGATTAACAGAGCCATCTTTCACTGTAATTGTGCTTCCCATTTGAACTGTCTCTATCTGTAGAACCTTATTAGGTGTCACCACTGCTTCTTCTAATTGGAGGATCTCCCCCTCTTCTTCTGAAATAACCACCACATCTTCTTTCTGTGAATCTTCAAGTAAAACTTGGAAAGTATTTGAGGTTTGAATAGGAACAATAGAACTGCTCCTATTGTCTTCTTTTGTGGCCCTTTCTTCAAGCACCTCATCTTCATCTTGAACCACCAATTTTCCTTTCTGTTTCACCACCCATTTATCAACCATTTTCTTCTTCTGCGGCTTGGTCTGTAAAACCTTTTGAGGGCACCTCTCAGAAACATGATCAACCCTCTGGCAGATGGTACAAAGCTGAGGCTTCCAGTCATATTCAAAATGAAGCACGCAATTGACCCCGTGAAAATCCACTTCCATTGAGTCTGGCAACTCATCCTTCACATCTATTTCTACCATTACTCGCACATATCTCCCTTTGTCTCTAGTAGATTCAGAATCATCCTTGTATATAGGCTTGGCAAAAGAAGAGCAGATCATAGAAACCACTTGTATTTTTCTGCAATGCACTGGAAGGTCATAAATCTTCAACCAAATTGGAACTGATTCCAATACTTCCTTTACTAAATTGAGATTTTTACTCCATCGTTTGACAATTATTGGTCTTCCCTCGAATGTATGAATACGAGATAAGACCTGCTGCACATCAGCATCATCATGAAACCGAACCAAGAAAAAACCATCGTTCAAATAGATCAGAGTGGAGTTCTTAGACCATCGTTTTTTAACAAATGATTTAAAATGAGGATAATAAGGCTTTTTCCCCATCACATAGCCAACCACAGATGAGGACCAATATTTGATTTCCTCTACAATATCTTCTTCCTTAATCGAAATTTTCTTTCCATGTACATCACTAGGATAACTCAAATTCTGGAAATTTGATGCCGTTTCTTTAAAGAAGCGGCACCAAGAGGTGGATGGGACTGGATTCCGGTTTGAAGATCCCGCCGGCGGGATAGGGGAGGAGGGGGGACCCTCCTCCATCACCAGATTCGTTGTCCCGGCCACCCTAATAACATACAAACCCTAAGACCAAATCGCCTCTCAGAGGACAACACGAGTTTGCTGAAAGATAACTAGACAATTAGATGTTTGCGAATGCTATATCATGATGTTGCCAGAGTAAAGAAATTCCAATTGCCATACAAGTATTAATGTGCCCAATTGAAACTTGGGTCCAGGCTAAAACCCACAAAAGTCCAATTTTGAGCTAGTTCTACAATTCACAGCAAAAAGGTTCAAATTCCTCAAGTTATAGGGCTCAAAATCATACAAGTATTACTGTGCCCAATTGCAACTTTGGTCAAGGCTAAAACCCACAAAAGTCCAATTTTGAGCAAGTTCTACAATTCACAGCAAAAACGTTCAAATTCCTCAAGTTATAGGGCTCAAAATCAAAGCCTAACAAGGGCAAGAATAATAAAAGAGAACAATTAAATGTTAACTTTATTTCTCCAGAAGACTAGTAAAGGATCTGTTTCTGCAGATATATAGTCTTGGTAACTTTGTCCCCAGGAATTTTCCTTAATTACTACGTAGTAATTATTTCTCCGTCAAGTGAACTCACTGTCAACTAAGCCTTCTACAACAATTCCTTAGACCATGATTAAAAAGTTGTGTACGACCTGATAAAAAAAAAAAAAAAAATGTGTACAACCAAAACGAATCATATATAACCCATTACAACTAGACCCGTGAACTGGACCTAATTCTAAATATCCAGATTTCCTAAATACCCCTAGACTTGTTAAACTTAATTGGAACAAATCAGAGCCTTTTTCTCAAATGTTGTTTTAATGGATTATCCTTTGCACCCAAAATAATATTTCGATCTCATTTGTATCAAATCTGAAGCAACATTTGGCATGTTTATTTTCATTAAGCTTGTATCATGTGTGCATGACCAGGTGAATGGCAGTAAAATCCTGTAATCAGCTAGCCGTCTGCCATTTTTAATCACAGAAAGATGGTTTTGCACCACTTGCCTTGAATAGTTGTCCCTCCTTTTTTAGGATGAAAAAAAAAAAAAAAAAAATTTCGTCCATTGAACTAGTAAATGCCAGAAAGTTAAAAATCCGTCTACCAACCTGTCTTTTCTGACTTAGTGTACTTAGGAGGGCTCCATAGTTGTCTGGTCCTATGTTTGATATGCATGCATGCACCTGTAAAATTGAAAGCAGCACATAATGTCTGGAAGACACAACGAAAGCTTGAAATTAGTGTTGAATTTCTTTATTTTGCATTTGGATCATGTTGTACTTCTCTTGTGATTTCAAAAATATTTCATGGGTTAGAGGATTCTTTTCTCTTCTTTTTTCGTATTTTTGAGATAAATGGAATCTCAAATTCCACAAATTAGGTTTTTTTTTTTCGTGGGTCTGTCAGGATATTATTGCAACTGGTGGGATTGATATGAATGCTGTACTCTTTGATCGACCTTCAGGGGAGATCTTATCGACACTTAGTGGTCATTCGAAGAAGGTTTCGTCCTCTACTTATTTTGTTTACTTGTTGGAGTTTGCTTCCTGCGCTAAATCTCTTGACTAATCACCTGTTTTTATCAGGTTACCAGTGTCAAATTTGTATCACAGGGTGATTTGGTCGTCACTGGTTCAGCAGATAAGGTAAGCCATGTCACTTCCATTTGCCTCAAATTTCATATCTGTAATCTTTCTTTTACTTCATGCTGGCGGATAAAAATCCTCTCTGGTGCAACAGTATATATGTCCCAGCCAGTGTTAGGAAAATATTGGGATGTACGTTAGGAAAATGTTGGGATGTACGTTAGGGAAATGTTGGGATGTACGTTAGGAAAATGTTGTGATGCAAGGCCAACGTCCCAACATTTTCATAACATGTATCCCAAACCATTCTGACTGGCTGGGACAGATTTACTGTTGCGCCAGAGAGGATTTTGATCCCAGGCTTTCATCATGTTTATTTCTTTTCTTTTTCTTTTTTCCCTGAATTATTTCTCTCTTTCCAGTGTTGCTATTTATTTTTGTCTGTTGGTTTTTTCTTTTCATTTTATTGGAAAGTGTCCATGAAACTTTATTATTTTTCATGTCCTATTAGTACAGAAACTTGAGAGCCTTCATATTTCATACTGATTTTCTGCTGCTTCTTGTACAGAACTGGAACCTTCACATTAGGATACTAATACCAATTATACCAAGGAAATGCAGATAGGGGTCAATAAAATAATATCCATTACAGGTAAAAAAATTTACAGAACCCCTTTCCCCTTCAACAAACACAAACACACGTCACCAAGAAAAAAAAAATGGAAAAGAGGAATGAAGGGGTGGATTAGATCTCAAATAGGAAAATGATATACAAACATAGGGTAGTAGGGTGCCAAAGTCATAGCATAAACGTGAAAGTGATAGGATAGTGTCTAAGAGGGGGATTTTGGGTGTAGGGGTCGATTCCTATTGCTTGTTAATTAAAAAAATAAAAAGAAAATAGTACTTTAGTACATGTGTTATTGTGTGGAACTTTAGCTTATATTGTGCGCCCTAGTTAAAGCCAGGGTATTTGTTTATTGTCGCAATCCATAAGTGGAGTTATCATGCGATTTGTGACATTTTAGCTATAGTACTCTGAAATCAGAAGAATTGGTTTCAGTTAACTGCCCAAATGTTTAACCTTTATCTTGTCTAGTTAACTAGTGATAAGTTATAGTTGAATGAGAAGAAGAATTGAGAGAGATAACCAACAGGCCAGTGGCCTAGCGGTACCAAGCCCCTACTTCTCAAAGAGAGGTCAGGGGTTTGAGCCTCAGTGGAGGCATGTGTGTGTGAGTACCCAACTAGGAAAAAAAAAATTGAGAGAGATTTCAGATCCACAATTGCTTTCTGAGAAGGGGTTGTAACTAGAACAAAGATGGCAAAGATCCCTCCAAAAATTGTGTAGCCTTCAATTGTTTTTGTTAGATCTAACATGCTCTAATGGGACAGTGACAAAGAAAATCAAAACCTAGCCAATGATTGATATCATGTAAGTTGCCCAACTAGTGTTGGAGGTCTCAGATAATTGTTTCTAAAACCAAAAATGAGCTTAACAACCTATGAATGGCTAATATGGTTGGGTTTTAGCTCTTGGAAAAGCAACGAAGGCCACAACTAAGTGAGATACTTAATGAAGAAATCATTATTTTGTAAGAAGAGTATGTGGGACGTTCTGGGGGAGTTGAATTCCACTGAGGGAAGTTCATCCTACACACAAAGTAACCTCTTATTCAAGGTAAAAAGGGCAAAATAGAAATGGAGGTATCATATTTCACCCTTAATTCAACTCAACAAAGCTTTTTCCCAACCACTTGGGTTTGCCTCATAAATTTTATTTCCCCATTCCACTCTATTTAAGTAAGACCATAGCCTCAGTGAAACCACATGTTTTCATGTCTTTCATTACTAACTCTACCCATGTTTGTTGAAAGAAAAATAACCCTTGTTTGACAAAAATCAAACTTCTTGCAGAGAAGCAACTCAAGGACCCTGTCAAATGTTATTTTTGGTTTTAGAGGAAGTAGACCAAGTTGACCAACAAAAAACTCTTCTTCTCAGGTTGCTGTAACGTATAGTCTCTAATATATAAGGGATTATATAAGGGACTTTTTTACCATTAGAATCTGTGAATAAGAGATGGAAGGTACTGAGGTAGGAAGCTAGAACCGAAGGTTTTTGATATGCTTTTCTCTCATCCTTATCCTTATCTGTGCATAGTAGTTTCTTCGTGGAGAATGTGTTCAAGGGTTCTGTTCCTTTTGTTGTATAACAAACTCATTTTAAGTTTCATTAATAATAAATTTAAATAATTTCTTATCTCTGGATTGATTGAAGCTTTTTCCTCACTTCATTACCTAGAAAAACGAAATCTTTTATCTTCTGCTTGATCTCTTTATTCAATTTTATGTAATAGAAATGCATGCTTACATGTATACTGTGCCTTTGCACAAATGGGTGTTCCTGTGTATGCATGACATATATTCCCGTGGCTTAACAGAAGATAAGTGATTGTGTTGGAAGGAAGTAGGATGTCAGAGAAAGTCTACTATCCAACTTTTCCACTTCCCCCTATTGATAAGGTTTTGTTAGTTACCATAGATGTTTCATAGGCTTGCTAATATGCTGGGAAGGTTTTCTGGGGAGACATGAATTTATTATTCTTTAAATTTTGTTTGAAACAAAAAAAAATTATTTTCAGAGTTACTCTTGTTCCACTTCCCATAATGATCATCATTTGTGTTCTCAAACATAAATCTGTTCAACTTTTTTTTTTTTCCTTTTTCCTTGACAAATTCATTTTACGGCTTGTAATAAAACTTTATACAACCTATTTGCAAGAATATGGTTTTTAATGTCTACCAGTATAACTTGCTGCATTTTCCCTTTGAAATCAATATTGTCCCTTTTTGCTTGAGTTTATAGCTTACACCCCTGTATTTGATTCTGATTTTCATTGTTGCAGACTGTTCGTGTATGGCAAGGGTCAGAAAATGGGAATTATGATTGTAGGCACATCTTGAAGGATCATACTGCAGAGGTAAGTAAAATTTTTCCAATCCAAACTGATCATGGTTTTATTCCTGATGACTTCTTTTACCATCACAGACTTGTTTCTTGTACCTCCTGGGTAATTTTATTCTTTTTTCTTGTTTCGGTAATTTTTTCTAAAAATGAAGCATTCATGTCATCGCTGTAGATTCAGACTTTCCTCATAGGCTCAAGTCATCTCAACCTTTGTGCCTGAAGCATTGTGGAGACTCTACAAGTTGAGGCTCAAGGGAAATACGTTTTGGCACCCTTGGAGTTAAACCACCAAAGTCTCTTGCCTCAGGGCATGTGGCACATGCCTCACCCTTCTGGCCTTGTGTTTGAAATGGCCCCTTGTATACTGACTAAACACCAGGAGATCTAACCGCAAACACCAGGAAAAATGAAGCATTCATGTCATCGCTGTAGATTCAGACTTTCCTCATAGGCTCAAGTCATCTCAACCTTTGTGCCTGAAGCATTGTGGAGACTCTACAAGCTGAGGCTCAAGGGAAATACATTTTGGCACCCTTGGAGTTAAACCACCAAAGTCTCTTGCCACAGGGCATGTTGCACATGCCTTATCCTTCTTGCCTTGTGTTTGAAATGGCCCCTTGTATACTGACTAAACACCAGGAGATCTGACCGCAAAGACTAAGTTGCTTCGTTTGGTACAAAGGTTGGAAAAGTGAGTAGAAGGGAAGATAGAACAAATGGATGAGGCATCCCCCATGGAAGGGAAGATGTCATTCCCCCTTTGGTTTGTTTGATTGGAAGGGAGTAAAAGGATGTGACACCTTTCATTATTTGAGAGGAGAGGTTTACATATCTTTTAACCATTACCCTCATACTCCCTCCGTCCCAAAATTCATGGGCCTTTTTGGAACTCCAACTTTTTAAGGGGACAAGTCTTTGATGCTTTGTCCCCTTTTAAAATTTCAAGGAGGGACAAGTATTTTGGGACATCCAAAAATGGAAAGAAGGCTAAGAATTTTTGGACAGAGGGAGTATAATTTGGCAAAAATTGATTAAGGGTCATATTTTCACTTTGTATATGAATGCTATGACCCTAGTTATAAACTTTCAAATTTGGAGGAGGATTTGAATGACAAATTTTAGTTTTAACAAGAATGCTGGTTAATTATCAAGCCGGAAATTATGAGTATGATAATCAGCGATGAAGCAAAATGAGTTACTTGAAGCTTTCTAGAAGAATTGACATACTACAAGATCATGGGACATGGCTCGTTATTAGATGTGCTTGTGCTACATGAGTTGTGTTGGCTAAGTCTCAGATGTGTAGATCACATGTTTGGGATAATGAAAAGTACTTTAAATTAGGAACACTTCTATGAGGTGACTGGTAAGGCCAAGGATGAACCACTTCTAGTTCTCATTTCTCTTGCTCTTTGTGAAGTTCATCTGGTTCAAGTTCTCAGGAGTTAAGGAGGGCTTTTTAGTGATTTTGTTAATTGAAGCATTGAAACCTACAGTGCATTTCAAGCTGTATTTGGCGTTCAGCGCATTTCTGGAAATTATGTAGACAACCTGAATTATTGTTGTTCTTGCAGCACAACAGTACACATGCTTGCTGGGGACTTTGAATGTATTAAAAATGATGCGGAAGGGCATAACACCAACCAAAAAAAGAAAAAAGGGAAAAAAAAACTCATGGATGATGGTTTGCTTTTCATTTGGGAATGCTAGGTCCAGGATATAGTTTGGATATACGAGCATAGTCAATTGATTTTAGGTTTGGCTTAGCAACCTTAGAATTTTTTATGATGATGAACGGCCTCATCGATAAGCTACATTTCTTATCTCAAATTGTTCTCACACCAAAACAAGCAGAGATTCTGTACTTTTCCAACTGTTCTTTCCCCGGATTTCCTATTGGACATTTGTTTTGTTCCTTAGATTATTAGCTCTCTAAATTACTGATTGTTTTGTAGTTCTAATGTCTACAGGTGCAAGCTGTCACCATCCATGCGACCAATAACTACTTTGTGACTGCTTCACTTGACAGTACATGGTGCTTCTATGATATTTCTTCTGGTTTATGCATCACACAGGTTTAATCAATCTCTCTCTCTCTCTCTCTCTCTCATGTGTGTTTCCTACATTACTTCTGGGCTGGAATGCTGGATCATTTGTCTGATTTCTGTAGGTTCCTGATGCTTCGGGGTCTGATGGTTATACATCTGCTGCTTTTCATCCCGATGGTCTCATCCTGGGAACAGGCACCTCAGGAGCACTCGTCAAAATTTGGGATGTAAAAAGTCAGGTATAATTCTACATTTTTCAGGTCCTTGACGTGTTACCACTTCCTTATTTTTCATTCCATTTAGTTTCTCTACTCGTTTGCAGGCAAATGTTGCAAGATTTGATGGACATGTTGGGGCAGTAACTGCCATATCTTTCTCAGAAAATGGTTACTTCCTAGCGGTACATTTTTCTTTAACAAGTAATTGCTGTAACTGAGGATTAAATATGGCAAGGTCTGATTTTTATGTCTCAACTGGTCAGACTGCAGCTCATGATGGTGTTAAGCTGTGGGATCTACGCAAATTGAGGAACTTCCGGACCTTTACGCCATATGATGAAGATACACCAACACAATCCGGTATGTGGACTACTCTATGCCAAGTAAATATTGTGTGGCTCTACATTGAAAACCCGCAATGACAAGAAATACTGTGGAGTAAGTTTAGTAGACTTTTCTTTTGCGAAGATGGGGACTCTTTGGGGAAGGAGAGGGGGAGGGTATGCCTTCTCAATTCATATTCCTTCATTAGTCGAAGGTTATGATGCGGTTGATTCATTGTTTTCTTTTTTCTTCCGTTTGATTAATGCTTGTGTTGTATTTTGACCATATCATGGTTTATAATGGAAAGGAAGATAATATGATATTCTTCAGTTTTACTTCTTATGGTGCAACTTTTTTTTTCTCTTTTTTTCTTTCCCGGAAATTCTTATGGTGCAACTTATCAAGAACAAAGCTTACAATTCCTGGTTCTTTTGCAGTTGAGTTCGACCATAGCGGAAGTTACCTCGCAATTGCTGGCTCAGACATAAGGTGTATTTCTAAATGATCTTCATACTGCTGGGATTTAGTACAAAACTTCCCTTTTTCTTCTTTTTTCTAGTAAGAAATAAAAATTAATTAACAATGCCTGTAGATATATATATTCTCTAGTCACCACATCTTACAATTTATTCTGTGATTATGATGAACTGCCTTTCCTCCACTATGACCGAAGCTTGAAAACCTAGTGGAGCTACAATATATATATATTGATAGGTCTCGTGTTGACATATATATACAAATGTATATGTATATATATTTAGCCCTCCATTGCAAGATCTCCCCAACAACCCACCTTTGTTTTCCAAGCTTAGAAACTAATATGATCACGCATGCTCTTGTAGGGTTTATCAAGTTGCAAATGTCAAGTCCGAATGGAATTGTATCAAAACCTTTCCGGATTTATCTGGGACAGGTTCTCTCTCTCTCTCTCTCTCAGCTATTGTTTCCTTTCTCATCTGTCTCAACATATTTTGTGTACTTTGGTACATGTGTATGTAGTTAGCATCGGATCCCAAAACTCAACGACAGGGACATGGTTAAATAATCATAAATTTTTCGTATTATCTTACTTTCTGAGATAAGAATGGTACTTTTATGTAACATAGAGTTCAACATCTGCACTTCATTCATTTTGTACCTTCAACCCGGTATATTGCACGCATACATTATACCCAGATAAGAGTATATGTGATAAGGTCTAAATATCACTGTTGATTTTGCTCCTAACACATCTTAGTTAGAAGTTCATTGATGTAAGCTTGATGTTGCGAGTGCAGGCAGAGCAACCTGTATAAAATTTGGTCCAGATGCGAAATATATTGCAGTTGGATCAATGGATCGTAACCTCCGTATATTTGGCCTGCCGGGGGATGTTGGTGCATCAGAGTTCTAGTGCCTTCACATCCATTGGAGATGAAAGCATACAATATTTATTGTAGTTCTGGTTTTTTTTCCTTCACAGAAGAGGTGAGAGTTTACATCAGAGTCTCGTATTAGTTATATCCGATTTCAATATAATGGAGAGGGAAAGACAATGAAGGGAATTTGGTGCAACATCCTATGGTGGACAGAGCTGACCAAGTTGAGAATTGAGGCAGTAGAATTAGACTCACTAGTGCAAGTCCATTTGTATCATAACAATGTTTAGTCTAATTTCTTCCCCTTCTTTTTAGGTCAAGTGAATTTCTGTTGCAACTTGATCTTGCGATGGCATTGTAGGATTTACCATACAACAACGGGTGAATGAAATACTTCTTTTATACCCTTTTTTTTTTAACTTTAGGGTAAATTTATTCTAAAAAATTATATTGACGTCCTCTTTGTAACTGTGGGGTTAACAATTTGGTTTAGTTTTATTGAAATAACCTTTGTATAAAGCTGTTTTGCTCTTATTGTGATCAAACTCAGGGCAGTTCTAAATGTTTTGCTCTTACCTTTGTATAATTATGGTGGTTGTATCAAAACAATAGTTGTTGTCATCTTTAACAACAATCAAGCTACTTGCGATCAGCCCAACCCGGTTAGAAGCTGCATTTGGAATTGGAAACTCGTTAGGCCGTTGCTCAATAAAAGCTAATGAGCAATCTACCATTATTATAAAAATAAATAATAATAATAATAATAATAAAATATAGAGCTACTTGAGATGCATTTGGCTAAGTTCACTTGAGACTTTGGTGAGCTGATTTTGTTATCCTTCCAAAATTGAGAAGAAAAACGGAAAGGAAGGAAAATGCTACCATTTTTAATAAAACTTGACTAATACCGAATTTGTCATTTTTTTATTTTTTATTTATTTTAAAAGACATGAAAAAAAGTGTAGTGATATCTAAATCACACAGTCCTTCTGAACGAGTGCTGGTCTCACACTCTGAGCGCGCTCCCACTTTCACACTCTGCACAGGTTTTGCTTCCATTCTCACTGTTTTTGACTTAATTTTACTGTTTTGGTGCTCCCGCTATCTAATTCACTCTTGCTCCGCTTTATGTGACTTAAGAACATAAGTAGTTCACATTATACTTGGGGATATAAGGAGTTCACATTATACTACACCCTTTCCTTTCTCGTAACTAATATGTTGTCCCTTATTTTATTTTATATTGTACCAAACATAGCCTTACTAAATGTGCTTGTGAAGGCTTAGAAAACTTTCTTTTTTACAGGAGAAATTATTATATGCTTGTGAAGCCTCACAAAACTTATTTTTTACAAGAAGATAAGAGCCGATAAATTATTACATGGTCCCGGACCAATAACATGGTGGCACACAAATAAATGAGTGGCCTTATTTCAATTTTTTCTTGAAAGTGTCACCATGTGATTGATGGGGACAATACAATAATTTCTCTAGAGCCTGACCTTTTAGGGTTTACACACAGAGTAAGCCCATAATCATCAGCAAACCATGCCCCCACCATTATGATGCCATGCGCGCGCGCGCGCACACAGTACTACAATTTACTTGGCCACACCCCAAGAAATGAAATGCATAGACATCTTACTACAACCTATAATCTTAATTCAGCTTTCTAAATCAAGGATGAAGACATTAGCCTGCAAACAAGACTAGTCCATAGACATGAACATTTTGAACGTGAAGAAGATCGATTCCATCTTTCTTCCAACTATTCTGCTTCGAACCTGGGACTATTAGTTCAGTAGCGGTTGAGAGCACACAACACGCATGCACAAAATATCACTAGAAGCACATTAGACAACTAAAATATAAGATGTAGATAAAAATAATCGGATATCTTACAGTTAATCGAAATCAATTTACTACATGTACAATCAGAAACCTCGTAGATGAAATAGGATGGGAGGGCTATAGCAAGCAAACTGAAAACAATAAAGAATGGAACTATTAACTATAACTATAAATATACTTTCAATAACATAGGAGTGAAGCATCTTCTCAGGTAAGGTATTGCGATGAATGTGCGAACCCCCACAACTGCAAGGATGAGAAAATATTATAAAGGGAAAATAATAATAATAATAATGGAAACAAAGAAAATTTATTATTGCAAGTTGCAAGCAGAATTTTTCCATACAAATGAACCATGATTTTTAGGGATCCCAGATGTGGGAAAGTAAACCAAATTGGAGTGCTTAAATATTTTTGTCACATTTGTTTCGCTAATCTAGTGCCCCAGAAATTTTCATTTTTCGTTCATTTCTTATGCATCTCCCCGAGGCAGTTCTAGCTTTTGAAAGCACGTTTGAATCCTTGATACTTGTTGCCTTCCAAAAAAACTGGCAACCGACAGAAGCAAGAGATGCCAAAATGGTGCCCAAGATTTTCCAACGTTGTTCATCTCACCTTAGGGAAAGGCTAGGGGAAGGTTAAATGCAAAAGTGGAGTTCAATCACAAGTCACTTAATGTCAATGAAAAACATTAAACTTTCAAATATGAAACTAGTAAAACCAGAGGTCTACTTCTAGGATTTCAGCCGAGGTTTGTCGAATTACTTCTTAATCTGAGCAGATAGTGTCTCCATCAGCTTAAAAGATATAAATGCAATAACAAGTGAAGGACAATAGGTCCCATGGAAAGGCATTGAATGAAGAAAGCAGGAGTAGAAATTCCTCTATAAAGTGATATATATAAAACATCAGACTGCAGAAATAAGATGGTCATTAGAGTGGGAAAAGAAATAACCGAGGAAGATTATGCATTAAGCAAATTGTAGTTCACAAGACCAGGCCCAACAGCACTTGAGATAAATCATACTTATGCATTTGCAGTTCACTGGTAATGTAATGTCAAAACACATTGCATGCAATGGCAACCCCTACACCCACCCTCCACCCTCAAACACACAAGCTCAGGTACGGAGAGACACACTGACACACCCCTCAAATTAAAATTATAAATCAAAAGGAGAATATGAAAGAAAAAAAAAATTATCGAACACAACACACACAAAGAGGAGCCCACACTTGAGCAGACATTAGAAAAATACAAAATGGCAATCAAAACAGATAGAGACCACATACACACATATGTATATATATTGATAATAAAGTGCTCACATGGGAGGAATAATAAAAACAATTAAGTGAAGTGGGCTATATATATATATATATATATATATATATATATATATATATATTGATAAGTAAGTCCGATATTCACACACACACATATATATATGTTGGGAATTAGAATCACATTAGATTCGTCTGTGGTCAAGTCAACAAATCGGATGGTGTGCAAGGTTGAGAAAATTTCAAAATCGATATTGTTATATAATGTCCTACCATGACCATGTCCAGGCCCATCAATGGATCGTATTTTGATCTGAATCCGATCCAATAACTCAGATATGTATTGAACATTTAATCCAATAACCCGCTAATGATCCAACTGTTAGATAATCAAACTAGATATGGATTATGCCTGGTGAATCCAATTGGATAATAATCTAACCCAACACAATATAATATATATAACATGTTAAATAAATAAATAAATATATATATATATATATATATATATATATATATATATATAGCCTTACCAAAAAAAAAAGGAAGAGCCAAAGATCTAATTTTCTCTCTTTTTTGTCCATATTTCATTTTTCTGCTCCATCTTCACTCTTTCGTCTGTTTTCTTTTTTCTACTCACTATTTGTTGATATCTTTTGACATTAAAATCTTTTTAACAAAAACTTGCCCCCTTAATGGATACCATCTAATCATAAATCCGACTTGTTAGGTTCATTCATGAATAATCTGCCGGATTATTGGATCGGATCAGGTCAATAAATAATCTTATCAGGTTCAAAATCAGATCAAGCCTAGTCTGACCCAAATCCGATCTGTTTACAGGTCTACGCATCCGCATCTGTGTTTGCAAACCATGTCGACAATTCAAAACCATGGCATGATGTGAAGAAAATGAATGGCATTAGAGCAACAAATAATCCTTTGATCATACAACTTGCAGGAAAAGGTCAGTGACTTGCTGCACTTTCTGAATTCAACCAAATTTAGATGCCTTGTCAACAAAAGATCCCTCCCCCCAGAATGTAAGAGCTTTTTAGATAAAACTTCTTCATGGCAGTCCATTCTACTTCATGTTTTCCTTCCTTTTAACACAAGTACAGATAAAATACGACAATCTTACCAGATTTAAGATGCCTTGGAGCTTTATCACAAAACTACCAATTCAGATCATAGTATAGTATGATTCTTGATCATATACTATACATTTTGACCCAACTTCCATTCATAATTCCCTTTCTAATAATTCTATCAGAAGCCTAAGATCAGCAGGAATGTTAGACTACTCATTACTCGTTTGCATAAGTTTACCATGCAACAGTTCTTCATTATTAGTTTCCCAAATATCAAAACCAACATAAGTTCTGAAAGCCTCATGTTACTGGAATATCTACGAATTAAACAATTTGAAGTACATAATCCCAAGGTTCTTTATCATATGCCAAACATTTTGATCCACTTTCTGTTCACAATTCCATGGGTGAAAAAGAATCCTATGAGATAAGCATCAAATACCAGTACGACTCTTGAAACCAGAAATCCTCTTATGCAGATTTAAACAAGTTACGCTTCTTTCTATTTGTTTCTCCAATATTAAACCTAAAAACCTACAACGATCCACAGAAGCCTACATTTCAAAAATAAAGTATATTCGCTATATGTAGAAATGAAATAAGATAAATGAGGGCTGATATATATATATATATATATTGCAGGCTTAGGGGGTCATTGCTTGGAACAATGGTAAAACCTTGGGCTGACAAGCATATAGACGTGATTATGAGTCAGCTAGCAGCCACTTTGTGCAAGATATGTGGAAGGATTTCTGTGTCTCCAATTTGTGCAAAAATGCAGTCCTAGGGGTTATTACTTGGTAATGGCCTTTCTAATAATTGCAGGCTTCTTTTTCTCATTCTTCCCCAACTTACTGGACACTATTTTGTTAACTGGATATGTGAGTAACATTTAAGGAAAGTTTTGAATTATATAATTTTGTCTTTGTGTAGCTTCCTTCTTCTGGAAAGAGAAAAATTGAAGATTCTTGCTCGTGAAAACTTTCAAACAAAAATGTTTTGTTAAATCAGTTCTGTAAGTACTAGTAATTTTCTTTTTTTAAGAAATAGTCATACAATAAATTTGCAGCACAAATGAAAGCATTCTGAAATAAAATTCATGACTTTTGGCAGCCATCTCATTTGGCCTTCCACTCAATTTTTCTTGGGCTTTTTTGTCATGAATTCCTCCACTTCTCAATTATACTCGTTTGCTAGAAGATCAATGGCCAAAGGTAAATTTCACAACAATAAAAAATGCAGAGGGAAAGATACAATTAAACAAAGAATATTGTGAAACAGAATAACAAGGATTAAGAAAACTGAGCATTACCTCAACATTCTTCAATTCAAACTCTTGACTATGAGCCAAGCATAAGTTCCCAAATGTTTCACAAGGTCCACTGGTTCCAGTTAACCTTTTTATAGAAAACTCAAATATCAGGATGGAAGAAACTACCTGTGTTTATCTTTCTATGAACAGACAATTGGAGAGAACTCCAAAATGAAATAGTGGAGAAAGAAACTTACAGATCCCCATCAAAACATAAAGCAAAGTTTCCACCCCCGCCAAGTGCTAGCAAGTCATTCAAACACAAGTAAAAATATCGATTGGCACCTATTAATATAAAACAGGCACAAAATTAGCCTAAAATCAAACATGGATATGTGTCATGTGCATGTCAACAAGCATAAGTGTGTGCGCGCATCATGCTTAAAAAAAACCACAAGAACTTGTCTTTTAGAGTTAACTGAAACTATCTGCTTGAACTATAGACAAATTTTCTCTACCACATTTGACACAATACATAACACGGGTTGAAAATTTTGTTTGTGAAAATTTGCCAGAAATATAGACATGTTGCATGACAACCACTGTCCAAAGTGTAATTCATTGATAAATGAAAGAGTAGGTTTCAAATACAGAAAGGAAATAAAGACAAATAAAGAAAAGGAAAGAAAAGCAATGAACATTTTAATGTTCTCTATAACAGGGATGGTTTACCACCATTATATTTTCGAAATAAGTGAAGCTAAGATCATTAAGGAATGATAATTTTGGCAATTCTGGCGTAATGGATAACTATTTCTAGCCTTGTCCAAAAACTACCAGAACCTTGCCGTCTGCGAGTCACACCGCCACAAATAAAGCTAAATTTTAAGCGATCAAAACCATATTGCATTTGAATTCCAGAACTGTTCCAAGTTTTTTAACGAAAATGATCCTTATGAATTAGAAATAGAAACTAAGTTAATCTTTTATATTCTGAAAACACACACACACACAAAAAAAAAAAAAAAGAAGAAATATTAGTCTTTTTCCTCCTGAAGGTATATTGTAATAAAGAGTACGGAAATTTACACATATTTTGGAAAACAAGAGGATAACAACTACATAAAGGAAAATAGAAAAGAAAAAAAAAAATTCCCTATGCTCTTATACGTGTTTTTTATAAGGACTCTTGTACATGTTATAAGGTCAAAAGAGAGATAAAAGAAGAAATTCTTTTATGAGTAAAAGATTTCAGCAGTTAAAACTGAGCATAAACCAAGTGCACAAGTCATATAGTGGAACACATACAGAACAAAGAAAATCCTATAAATATGGCACTAAAATCCATATTCTCTACAAAATCCACAAAAGACTGTTGAAAAGGATCAAATTCCTTGCCATCCAAATATATAATAAACTCAAAAAATAATACACATGATTATTCAACTTCTCAACACCTTAAATGAGCACACATTTCTCTCGTGCCAAACACACCACATTCAGTGGAAAAGGGCCACAATCCAAGCTTCTTGTTTCCTTCGGTTAGTTGTTCCCACTCTCCAACTACAAAAAGGTTTTGCCATTGATTTGGTAAATCCAACAATCATGGTTGTTAAAATCCAATCTGGGCACCGGTTCACCGTGTGGCCTGTTGGCTTATGGCTTGAACCCTAAACCACAAGGCCAAGGTTTGAGACTGGTAAAACGTATGCCAAAATTCCAATCTGAGCCTTAAGATCCTACAAACTTACGACCCAAAATTACTGAATAGATCCAGATCCCACAAAAATCCTAGGAAGATAGGATCCCTATGGAATTCCTAGAGGATTGTGAGAATGAAGGTTCTTGATTCTACCGATCCACCTATAAAATCATAAAATATTATTTTGACTTTCTTTTTGGTAAAATCTAGATCCAAATAATATTATAAAATGAAAATCAAGACCAATTCAAATGCCCTAATTTTCATGTCAAATTTATTTTCTTATTTGAAGTAACAGTTCTTGTAGCCTTCCCCAAACTAGTCAACTACCTTACTACAAGATTTAGGCAATTTTGATACTTGTATTGACAAGAACGAGTGTTGCATTGTCTCCTTTCCTTTTTTTTTTTCTTTGATTTTTCTTCCTTTTGAATGTTTATTTTACTATGGCATGTAACAAATAAGCTTGTAAATTTTTTCTTAAAAAACTCTGCATCAAGTCATTTACTTTGATCTTGATCTCTTCCTCCTCGAAACTCAAGAACTCTGCTTCAAACTAATAAGTCATTTATGCATGCAAATGTCTAATATTCAACCTTTTCTTTTTCCCTATAGTCTCTTACAAAATCCTTCATGGACAAGTACCTTGAATATTTAAAACAAAATTTTCTTTTTCATATAGTGAGTTGAAAATCTTCATGCAATGTATAATCATGGATGTCTTAATTCATGATGGTCCATGAATTTTTTTAATCTTCTGTTTTTTTTCAAAGACGGTCCATGAATTTTTTTAATCTTCTGTTTTATACCTAATGCTGTATAGCGTCAACATAGTTCATGTTATGTAAATTAAATTCTTTTATCCTTATATATTTTTCATTTCGTATGAGGATTAATGTACACCAAATTATTTAAAAAAAATAAAAAAGCTTTTGGAAGTCTTAATTCATATTTTTTGATGAGTTTTATGGTTGTTCATAGTATATGCTTTTAAATAATTCTAACAGGATAGATATTATTAGGTATTTTTAAATTTCCCGTTTTGTAGAACTTTACAATTCTCAGTCTTATCCCAAGGACCTTCCAATCAATCCAACATAGTATCTTGATTTCAAAATCCTTGCTCACAATATTCCAAACGAGCCAACACCAAACCCCACAACTCCCTTGCCACTCAATGAATCAAAAGATGATACATAACTCCTCATCTTCCTTACACGTGCAACAACAATTAATGGACTTCTAATCAAATTATTAATAGCAGTAAAAAGCCTATAGCATGACAGAAGTATTGGCATGTCATTTAATAGGGAGGGGTGGATGCGGGGTTCGATTTTATCAATGTCCAAATTAAAAAAATTATTTTTTTAATTTAAGTAAAGCATATAAAACAAAAAAGCTCTAAGGAGAGCAACCCTTAACAAAGAAAAAACAAAGGCGCCATAGACGCCATTACAACGATAAGTTGTCAACAAAGTCTAACAAACTGTCCACCGAGGAACAATTAATCCCAAGGACCCAAAAATAGAGAGAATGTAGAATAAACGATTTAACAGCCCAATCCGGCGACTCTTTTGACTTCAAAACATCTTCTATTGTGCTCAAGCCACAACCCCCACCAAATACAAAGAGGTGTTACCCTCCAAGCTTTCCTAATACGGTTACCGACGGGTCTCCCTCACCAGGCCTCTAGCATACCTTTTGTTGTCCTTGAAACAACCCAATGAACCCCAAAGACCTTCATAACCATGCTCCAAGCATCCGCTGCCACTTGACAGTGCATCAGGAGATGATTAACCGATTCACCTTCCTTTTTACACATGCAACACCAGTTAACAGTAATCTGCCGTCATCTCTTAAGATTGTCAAGAGTCAGTATGCTTCCAAGAACCACTGCCATGTGAAAAAGGCCACCTTCAATGGTGCTGAAGTCCTCCAAACCGCCTTCCAAGGGAAACCGTTACTTATATCATTCGTAAGGCTTTGGTAAAACAACCTCACCTCAAACATCCCTATAGAACCTCCCATCCACACCATCTCATCCCTTCCTACCCCCACCACCTCTTGGCTGTATATTAAACCCAATAACTCTGTAACTTCCCCCAGCTCCCAATCATTGAATCTTCTACAAAATCTCAAGTCCCAGCAAACTCTCTCATTCATAAAATGGAAATAATCAGCAATCATTGCATTCTTATTCTCAACAATCCTAAAAAGATACAGAAATCTACAAGCCAGCACCACATCCCCACACCATAAATCCTTCCAAAACCTCACATTCCACCCATCCCTAACTCTAAACCTTATCCGCTTTGAAAACTCATTCCAACCCCTCCTAATGCTTTTCCACACTCCCATACCTTCTAATACGGACCCACTTCTAGACTTCCAACCTCCCTCCTCTTCTCCAAACCGACAAGCAATGATCCGTCTCCAAAGAGCGGCCCTCTCACACCCAAATCTCCATATCCATTTCCCTAACAAGGCTCTATTAAACATCTCCAAACTGCGAATACCCAGACCACCTTTTTTGATGGGCGTGCATACAGTCTCCAACTTCACTAAATGAAATTTGAACTCCTCCCCAATACACGCCCACAGAAACTTCCCTTGAATCATATTAAGTCTTCTAACCACTGTTTTAGGAACAACCCTCCATTCCAATTTTGCTACTCCAATTCTGTATATATTGAAGTTTGTATTATCATATACAAAGGAAGAGATATATATAGGCTACAGATTAACAATGACTAATCACGGCAACAATCACTATACAACAGTTGTAATAACGGTTGATAGCATTAAACAACAGCTGTAATGTTTATTATGTCAACATCCCCCCTCAAACTCAAAGTGGTAGAGCATAAACCAACTTGAGTTTGGAAACTAATTCCCGAAATCTGCCTGGCAGATGTGCTTTGGTAAAGATGTCAGCGGTCTAATCAGCTGAAGTTACAAAGTGAAGATGTACAATGCCCCGAGTAACATGGTGACGCACAATATGATAATCAATTTCAATATGTTTGGTGTGTTCATGGAAGACATCATTATAAGCAATGTAGATAGCACTCCAATTATCACAACAAAGAACAATGCCAGTGGAATGAGAAACACCCATATCTGTTAAGAGCCATCGAAGCCAGATAAGTTCTTGTGTGGAATCAGCAAGGGCACGATATTCGGCCTCTGTACTAGACCTAGAGACGATGGATTGTTTTTTGCTGCGCCAAGAGATGAGAGAGTTCCCAAGAAAGAAGCAATAGCCAGTAGTAGAATGCCGGTCAGTCGGATCACCTGCCCAATCAGCATCAGAATAGGCACATAGTTCAAGTGAAAAATGAGAAGAAAAGTAAAGTCCACGAAACATAGTCCCTTTAATGTATTGAAGGGTACGTAGTACAGCATGATGAGTAGATCGTGGTGCAGATAAGAATTGGCTGACAAGATGCACAACATAGGCAATGTCAGGTTGAGTGACATTAAGGTATACCAAACTGCCAACCAACTGTCGATACAATGTAGCATCGCTGAGGAGTGTACCATCTAGAGGAGTGAGCTTGACATTGGTCTCAAGGGGGTGGGAGCTGTTTTGCAATCCATGAGTTCAGCACGAGCAAGAATGTCAGAGGAATACTTGGGCTTG